TTAGTAATTCTAGAAAGATTGCTCTTTTAATGGCAACACTTTTATTTTAAAAGCTTTTTTTTAAATATTTATTTATTTATTATGTATACAATATTCTGTCTGTGTGTATGTCTGCAGGCCAGAAGAGGGCACCAGACCTCATTACAGATGGTTGTGAGCCACCATGTGGTTGCTGGGAATTGAACTCAGAACCTCTGGAAGAGTAGGCAATGCTCTTAACCACTGAGCCATCTCTCCAGCCCCCTTATTTTAAAAGCTTTTGATAATATTTGAAGAGATAAAACCAAAGGACTTGACAGTGAGATAAGAGGATGGGGCGATGAGATGACTCGGTGGCTGAGAGGACCTGGGCTCCATTCCCAGCATCCTTGTGCTCTAGTTCCAGGAGATCTGATGTCCTCTTCTGACCCCCACAGGCAATAGACATGCATGTGGTGCATATACATACATGCTGGCAAACATCCATATGTATAAAATAAATCTTAGGAAGAAAAATTTTAGGAAATGCATTATAAGCATGCGTGAACTTGTCAAAAAGAGTACATTAATTTTTAAAAGCTTTTCAAATAATATTTAGACTAAACTTTGTATTTTGGCCTATATTAATTCCTTTTCATACATATATGTCATATATTTTGACCATAAGTACCCCATTATCATCTCGCTCCTCTCTCATTTATCCCTTTCCTCTTCCTAATTAGTCTTTCTTCTACTTTCATGTTCTGTGAGGTGTGTGTGTGTGTGTGTGTGTGTGTGTGTGTGTGTGTGTGTGTAGGCCAGAAGGATAATGAGCACCCATGTGAGTGGCTGGGATTCTGACCTGGGTCCTCTGAAGACCAGCCCATTAATGCCGAGCTCTGAGCTGTCTCTCCTGTCCTAGATACCAACGTTGTAGAAATCAGTTTGTGTGTCCAGAAAGCTCAGTCTCCCCATTGATAATGTTCTTTCCCCTCCTGCTTTGGTGTTTTGAATCAGAGGCTTATGTAATTAAGACTGGCCCTGAATTTCTAATTCTCCTGCCTCCGCATCCTGAGTGCTGGGATTGCAGGTGTGTGCTGCCACATGTGACTGCAAATGTACTTTTAAAAAAACTTCCTTTAGAACTCCTTTTTCCCTTATGTGCTCCTAGTCTTTCTGAGATTACAGCAGCATTCCTAAGATAAAGGATCATTTCTTAGGGAGGAAATGTTAGACTTGTCTGACAGTTCCGATACAGAGTGACACTGTGACCGAGGGACACGCGTCTGAGATGCTGACCTTGTCTGAGCTTGCTCTTTGGGCACTTCTCACTCTGCCCCTACAGTGGTGTGTTCTTCTTTGGAGAAGGTTCTTTGGGAAGAAGTGATTTCTAACTTATCACTTTATTTTTAAATTTTTATTTCAAAAAAATTGTAGAAGCATTGGCTAAAAAAAAGAGGCCTGGTGTACACCAGCTGCCCACTTGTCAATTTGAACTCAGTCTTTTCCTTCATCTGCCTCAGATTCAGTGTGATTGACTGGCACCAGGTTTATCACCATGTGGGCGCACGCTTTACTGACGTGAGAATGTAAAGCACTCCACCATGAGCATGCCTTGGGTAATTCTGGAAACCCAAGAGTCTGAATTGATTGGAAGATGACAGTGAAGAGCTAGAAGCAGCCTCGGGTGGTTTCCGAGGAACAGGAAGTCTGGTGCAGGGTGGAAGAGCGGCTCATCTGCCCTGTCACTTTGTTGGTGACTTGACCCGTATCCTCTTCCCTCCCGCAGGCTCTGCTCAACGTGGTCCTCTGATCTGATCTTTCTGTTTATTTTTATTAGCTGACTTTTGAGTATTTCCTTCCTTGTTTTAATATGTTAGTAAGTAGACATTGGCTATTTAAGCGTTAGAACTTACCCTTCATTAGTTGCATGACACACTTTCTTTAACTTCTAATTGTCTGTAATGGTAACGAGGGGATTCTAACTCTTCATTGTATTTAATCTCTTTCTGTTCTCTCCGTCTCTATTTTTAGTTCCTCATTTCTCATCTTTTCTATTACCAAACCTTCTATTTAACTTTAAAAAACACATGCATGCATGTACACATATGCATGCACACACGAACACACACACACACACACACAAACACACACGCATGGTGGAGGTGAGGGAAATGCATTGATAGAAATGGTAATTATGGTAGGAGATTTCTTTTAAACTGATGACCATGGTTGAATGTGTTGGCATAGCAGTCAAAATAAGCAGTTGACATAAGACATTTTAATTTTTTTATTCTAAAATAAGGTCAATCATGCATGGGAAATAATTATTTTCCCTGCATGTGAAGTTCCTGGGAATGATTATTATTTTTGTTTGTTTAGGGGTTGTTTAGGGGTTGCTTGCGGACAGGGTCTTGTACCCCAGGCTAGCCTCAAACTTCTGTAACAGAAGATGACCTGAACCATGCTGGGGTTATAGGCAGTGTTTCATTCTTTATGCATTCCTGTTTTACTAAATCTCATGCACAAGGATAGAATGAACAAAAGCCTTTGAGAAAAGCTCACACATGTTATTATAGATGATACATTAGGTCAGATTTGGTTTGTGGCAGCGAAATGTCTAATTATATTTACTCAGCAAGTCTTTGATTCTTTTCATGTGGGACTTTTTGTTCTCATCCCCAAATTATAGCTTAAGAGATTCTGTCTGCCATCCTTATCTTCTCCATAATGATGGCTATTGCTACATTGTACTATGTATTAAATCACTCTCTCTTGGATATTTACTTCTCTGTTTATTTCATGATTAGTATAATCTCCCGATTACCTAGGTAATGTGGATAAAAATAACACTGATAGCTAGGTTGTAGCCGTTGTGTTTCTGTCTTGCTAACATGACTGTAAAACTCAGTTTCTTAAGCTTTTGTCGGGATTTTAGTAAGACTCGACTATGCATCAATGCCACTGATTTTTTTTTTTTTTAGGTATTGTTGAAGCCGGCTTCTTGATTCTTTTTAAATTATGAAATACTTATGATCAGCCATGCTAATCTTAATGTATGGACTTTTAGTGTAAAACATATTTTAAAACTCACCTGTACAGAACCATGGGGTAATATTTTCATTGTGGTGTTCATGAGTGCTTTTGAAATTTTAAAATAACTTTGAATATTCATTTATCAGTTATATTAGAAATAATCTTTAATTTTTATTTAAAATACTGACCTTGTTTTGTAGCTACACATATTCTCCTATCAGTGAATCAAGGCACAAGTGTACTTTCTTGTCTAGAGTAACAGTTTTTCACACCATCTCAAAGAACAGGATGTATTTATTTTTTTTTAATTATTTATTATGTATACAATATATGCCTGCAGGCCAGAAGAGGGCACCAGACCTCATTACAGATGGTTGTGAGCCACCATGTGGTTGCTGGGAATTGAACTCAGTACCTTTGGAATAGCAAGCAATGCTCTTAACCGCTGAGACATCTCTCCAGCCCCCAGGATTTATTTAAAATACTATATTTCATTGAGTCTACAGTTTCATCAACTATAACATATATGATTAGCTTCTATATCCCTGTGAAGAACATTCTCCACTAAAGAATGCGTGATTGCGGGCTAGAGGAATGGCTCAACAGTTAAGAGCAGTTATTGTTCTTCCAGAAGATCCGAGTTTGATTCTTATCAACCATCTGTAACTCCAGTTCCAGGAGATCAGCATCTCTTCTGGCCTTTTAGGGCGCCAGTCACATACATGGTGTACAGATGTCCATATAGACAAAACATCCGGGCACAGAAAAAAAAAACATGATGGTTGTTTATAAATGCACTACAGTTTTAGAGATGTTAGTGCAAAAAGCCTTCCTGTTGTTATTTGATGAATTATGGTAATGTTACCACCTTAAATTTGTTTCAGGCATTGTGGAATTTCTCTGTTTTTGTTTTTAAGGACAAGGTCTCTCTTTGTAGCCCTAGCTGTCCTGGAACATGCACAGTAGACCAGGCTGGACTCAAACTCAGAGATCCATCTGCCTATGCATCCCAAGAGCTGGGATTAAAGGCCTAACATGGAAAAAAATTTAATGATTTATTTTATTTTATCTGCATTCATGTTTTGCCTGCATCTGTGCCTGTGCAAGTGTGTCCTGAAGCTGGAGTTACAGACAATTGTGAGCTGCCATGTGGGTACTGGAAATTGACCTCAGGAAAAGCAGCCAGTGCTCCGAGCTGCTGACCAACTTCTCCATAAATATTTCTTAATGTATAACAAAATTGAACTTGTACCCTCAAGCTAAAATTAGTTTATGAGGTAGATTAAATTCTCCCTGATTTCCAGATGAACAAACCACATTGTATAGAGATTATGTGTTCTTCTAGAATTGTGTACTCATGAATTACGGTTTCCAGTACACTTACTTACTCTGAGGTATGCGATAATATTGAATAATGGACAATGTCACCTCCCTATTGTCCACATTCATTTATAATTTGGCCTTTGGTCTAGATTTTTCTCTGTTACACAATTCAAATATTTATTGAGATTTTACTTTTGACTTTTTTTTTTTTTTTTTTGGTGAGGTCTCATTCTATTGTCCATAGGTGGGCCTGGAGCTTACTTTGTAGCTAGCCCATAATAGTTCCAAACTTGGAAATATCCTTTTTGTCTCAGTCACTTGTGTGTTGAGATTGCAGGTATGAGCCACCAGCAGTTTAGCTTCATTTTTTTACAGCTGTTGCTGTGTCTTGATTTTAGCTGCAGTTTTGAGTGCAGCTACAGTGGTTAGTGTTTTCTTAGTGAATCATCGTGCCTCTACTAATGGATGAATTACTCTAATTCTGGAGTGCCTGACTACTCAGAAACTGTATAGGCTGTCATTGGTGGCTTAATGCATGTTTTGAAAGCAGTTCGTTTATTTCTGTCTAACCGGGTAAAATGTTTAGGAACGAATTGAGAACTGTGAAGTGATCCTGCCAAGGTTTTTGTGTGTCGTAGCTTTGGTTGTCTGGCATATTAAAGTCGCTGTCTGTTCCTTCACAGGTGGTGGCTAACGCTGTGGCGGCATTGTCTGAGATCAGTGAATCTCACCCAAACAGCAACTTACTTGATCTGAACCCTCAGAATATCAATAAGCTGCTCACAGCCCTAAATGAGTGCACTGAATGGGGCCAGATTTTCATCCTGGACTGCCTGTCTAATTACAACCCTAAAGATGACCGGGAAGCCCAGAGGTCAGTCTGTCTACTGGGCATAAGCTGATGGTCTTGCCTGACTGAGTAATGTCTAATGTCTGCTCCTAGTGTAAGAGGCTATCAGACTGAGGAAGGCAGAGGGTTTAGGGGACATTGCTATCTCGGATATATTTTCCCACTGGAGTTAGGGACTCTGTAAGTGCTAAAGCACATCAAGAAGAATTTAGTTGTTTCTGTTATACTTCTGCTAAAACTTCCATCATATTGTCACCTGTCTCCCAGTTCCTGGTCATTTGGTAAACAAAAGTTATGTCTGTCCTTGTAATGACGTGCTGTCTATTCTGTTAGATTCTTCATACTAGTTACGGAACTGAACAATAGATAAGTATTTTAGAGGCAGCAGCACAGATGTGTCTTGCCCTTGATTTGGCACTTTTGAGAACGGCTTGATTGCTCCACTCAGCCCTTTACTGCCTACAGTTGCGGATTTCCTTGACTGTCAGAACTTTATTAGCAAATGACATCAACACATAAGTACATTTCAGTTTACAAGGCTGAAGTTACTACCCATTTTTAAATTGAGCGTGTTGTATATATAAGCACTGGTCTAGGCAAAGTACTTCTGAAGAATTGCTGACTCTCCATTAAAGTTGACATATTTTAATTATGGTAGATAAGAACCTTCCTTGCCTGGCTGAAGCTGATTTCCAAGCTACTAGAATGTAAGTTCTCTTCACTTGTCTGGGAAATGACTCCCTCTGGACCTAAGACTGCTGGTAGTTTCTTTCCATCATTGAAAGTACAGTTATATTCTGAAGAGAACTTTACCAAGAATTTTGTTTTCTGTTGGCTATTGACATTGCACTCATTAGTTCCCTCAGCAGAACTTCTTAAGCCCGTGCTCGGTCTGGGTTCTGTGCTAGGCTGTGAGGACTCCACAGAGAACAGGCAAAAGTTGTGGTCCTCATGCCCCATTCACTCTGGGGGTAGGAGTTTATACAGGTGGATATTCAAGAACGTAGATCATAACTCACGACTGCTAACAGAGGTACTAGAAGGATCTAAGAAATGGCAGGTGTTTAGAGTAATAGACTATAAAGAGAATGCCTTCCATCTCTATAGTCTCTGTTTGTTTTTAGTCAGGGTCTATGCATATAACCTCTGCTAGCCACAAACTGGTGACCTTCCTGCCTCAATATTTGTTTTGTTTGTTGTTTGAGACAGGCTCTCGATATGTAGCCCCCATTGGACTCAAACTTACCATATAGATCATGGCCTCTAACTCAGAGATTCATCTGCCATTGCTTCCCAAAAGCTGGAATTAAAGCTGTGCATACCACACTTGGCAGGGTTTTATTTTTTTATTTTAATTTTTGGAATTATACTTTTTAAAAAGAGCAATTGAGAAGGTCTCTGTGAAAGGGACTTTTTTAAGTCTGGATTCAGCCGTGTGGACATAAAAAGAAGAGAGTAAGCAGGTGCTCACCTTGTCTCTAACATTGTAAACAGGACTCGTGATGTTGCCCAAGAGCAGGCAAGATTAGGTTGATTTCAGAGAACACTATATGTGTGACTATCAAGATTCTATGGGGCATCTAAGCATAGGTAGTAGGGGCTAGAAGAAGTTAGGAGAATATTGTAATAATATTCTAATATTAAAAACCAAACCCAAACAGAACAAAAGCCTCATCTGTTCCCGAGTTTTTCTTACTAGCTTGAAAGCAAGAGGCTATGTAGTTTTGTCTGCCAACCCACTTAATCTTTAAGACACAGGTGATGACACCTCTCACTGTGCCTTTATTTTCAGGACATTTGGTTTGATTTCCTATAGGTTGAGTAGAGATGAGCTGTGAGGCAGGGAGCCCTAGCATTATGTGTGGGAGACAGAGGACTAAAATCCAGAAGGTAACTGGTGTGAGTGCAAGTGTCTGGGGGGTTGCTAGTTCCCTTCCGGTTTGGATATCCCTGTTGCTGGCTTCTCAAGTCTTCTGATGCCCCTGCTCTGCCTGTAGTCTGCTGGGCACGAAGCTTCTGCGGTGTTGGATCCCATTTTGACCTAAGCATGGAGCTTTGACTTTGCTAACTGAATCTTTGATTTCTTGATACTTGGGCCATGGAACTCTGAAGCATAACTTTATGGATGAATTGAGCAGAGGTGCTGTATTTTCCCTTTCTGCCCACAGCATCTGTGAGCGAGTGACTCCTCGACTCTCCCATGCCAACTCTGCGGTGGTGCTTTCAGCCGTGAAAGTCCTGATGAAGTTCCTGGAGCTCTTACCCAAGGACTCCGACTACTATAACATGCTGCTCAAGAAGTTAGCACCTCCGCTTGTCACTCTGCTGTCGGGGGAGCCAGAAGTGCAGTATGTCGCCCTGAGGAACATCAATCTAATTGTCCAGAAAAGGTGGGAAATAGTGGTTTGGTGATTTTAAAACATGTGTGATCTTGAATTAAGCTTAATATAAATGCCCTATAGATCGATGCTATTCTCTTTTGTTTGTTACTGTGTGGAAGTGAAAATGTTATAATAGTAGTACAACTTGCCCAGGAATACAACTTACAGTTACCAGTCTTTCGGTAGTAATTATCTGCTGTTGCAGTTCAGGGTTATTTTGGCTTGTTTGTTTATTTGTTTGTTTGTTTTTTGATTTTTGATTTTTGAAAACAGGCTCTCACTGTGTAGCTCAGGCTGGCCTCGAACTCACAAAGGTTCCCCTGCCTCTTCCTCCCAAGTGCTGGGAGTAAAGGAGTGTGCTATCACGCCCAGCTAGGTTGCTTTCTTAAGTGCTTCCTTTGGATATGCTACCCTTGGAAAGCTGTAGTTGAGGACCAGGTTTTTCTTCCTCAGCAGTTCTCTGTGGTAACATACCCCTTGTCCTTTAAAAGAACACAAATCAGATACCAAAAGGAATTTGTGGAGAATAGATGGGCTGGGAGTTTAGCTTTTTGCTAGAATGCTTGCCTAGAATGTGCTAGACACCCAGGTTTACTGTGCGGAAGTAAAAATGTTATTGTGTAGTGTAGCTACTATATGGGGTGGGGGCACAATAGAGACTTATACAGCACATTTGTCAGTGTTTTGCCTCCTTCAAGGGGGCAGGCAGGAAGACTGAGCAGGATATGTCAGTAAATAAGTTCTATCTTCTTCCTTTCTTGTGTTGTGTATCACAGGCCTGAAATATTGAAGCAGGAAATTAAAGTCTTCTTTGTGAAGTACAATGATCCCATCTATGTTAAACTAGAGAAGTTGGACATCATGATTCGTCTTGCATCCCAAGCTAACATTGCGCAGGTCAGACCTTAAGCTGTCTCAAATTTATTATGGCTTTGAACTTAAGATCTGACATCCAGAAGGCATGAAATTGCTGTTTGAGAATCTTTAAAGGTTATCCATTTGGATCTTTGACAGGTTCTGGCAGAGCTGAAGGAATATGCCACTGAGGTCGACGTGGACTTTGTTCGAAAAGCTGTGAGGGCCATTGGACGGTGTGCCATCAAAGTGGAGGTAAGGCTCCAGAGGAGATATAGATCACACAGTATGGGATTTTGAGTGTTCATCACTTTAGAGTATGTATATTTTGAAGTTTATCAAAATAATAAAGCATATACTTAATGAACTGAATAGTTTAGTGCTTATGGGTGTTTTGTCTGCCTTATGTCTATGTACCTTGCGTGTGCTAAGTACTTCTCTAAGCCAGAAGAGGCTATTGGACCCCCTGGAACTAAAGTTACAGATGGTTAGTCATGGGCCACAATCTGGGTGCTGGGAATCTAACCCAGGTTCTCTGGAAGAGCGGCCGGCCATTTTTACTCTTAGCCCCTGAGCCTTCTCAGCCCCAGATTAAAGCCCTAAAGGGTTTCCCACCAAGCCCAGGCCTCCCTTCCTAGGACCTCTGAAGGCTCTTGGGAAGCAGCCCCAGGTCACCCCTCACCTGGGATGAGCTTGGCAACCTGTGCCTCTACAGGCCACACCCTTGGGATAAACTCTGTCTTCCAAAAACAACGCCTTCACATGCCCGCCAGGCACTACAGCCCTAGTGAAACCGAAAAGCCGCTGTCCTTGGTTCTTTTCCTTCTCTACCTAGACATACTTCTCCAATAGTATTACTTTTAACTCTTTTTTATTTTGGATTTTCTTTTGCTACATCCATAGCCATAAATAGTTTTATTATTTACTGATTTGTTAATTACAGATTTTTATCTTTCCAACACACCCCACTCCTCCCCCAAGCATTTGGAGGTGGCTTGTTGGTTTTACTTGTTGAGACAAAGTCTTACTGTGCAGCCCAGGCTAGCTCCAAAGTCACATTCCCTCTCCCTTACTCTCTCAAGTGTATGATTTCAAGCATGAGACACTATGCCTGGCTTTAATTTTGTGGTCTTTTCCACACTTTTTTTTTTTTTTTTGGTAATATGTGTTCTTAGGTGTTGTATTTTGTTTTGGTTTTAACTTATTTTGATATTACCTATTTATTTTTTTACATTTATATGTTTATTGTTTGAGGGGGCAGCATGTGGAGGTCAGAGGACCACTTGTAGGAATTGGTTCTTTCCTTCCACCATAGGGTTCCTGGAGATCAAACTCAGGTCAGCAGGCCTGGTGGCAAGTGCCCTTATCCGATGATCCATCTTGCTGGCCCGGATACCACACATACCGATTGCTCACTAGACTTAGAGACTTTCTCAGAGACTGGACTGTATCTCCATGGTTCTACTGATCTCATACCTCCATTTCCTTTAGATGACTAAATCTGGAGGCTTGGTGATATTCACAAGTTTCAGGTGGTGTGTGTGCTTTTTAACCCTAACAGGAGGCACATAATTTAGTGACCTGTGATCGTACATTGTGATAAATGATAGACTTACCCTTGGCTTTGGGGATTTTTCTCACAATCCTGTCCTCAAAAAAAAATCTGTCACAGTACCAATAAATTTATCAATTTGTATTTCATATTCAATTAGTAAAAGGTTAATGGATTAAACTCTATTCTGGGATATTTTGAGCTATAGATAACTAAAAAGAAAAGAAAAGCTATGGACCTTATATTTGTAAAATATTTTATAAGTCCATACAAAATTTGGTGATTCCTTTTTAGGAGGTTTAAAACACCCTGTGCAGGAGGTCAGAGAAGTGACTCAGAGTATTGGTTGATCTGCCATGAGATTTGGAGTTTAGATCTTAGCAAACACATCAGGCAGCTGACAGGCTCCTGTAACTTCAGCTTCCAGGGTTCTTCATGAGCACCAGCATGTGTGTGTGCACACAAATGCAGTTTTATCCTTATCACAGTGGCTGCACTGTAAACACTAGCAGCCGGCTGCTCAGGCTATAGCCTGGGAGAGAATTCTGTCCACCTAGACAATGGCTCTGTTGCTGCCCTTAAAAGTAGCTTTATAACTAAATTTCTGTGGTTCTAATAAAACTTGAGATTCAAAGGCTAAGGTGAAAACCTGTAAGCTCAGAAATTCCACAACACACACACACACACACACACACACACACGCACGGAGGGAGGGAGGGACAGAGACCAGTGAAGAAATCTTTTTTAAAACACTAAAACATCCCATGCATTCTCCGTTCACCTACGAATTCCAGTTAAGGACCTCCCACTTAGCTGTACTCTTTGCCTTTCTTTCCTCAGACCCTGGCTATTTTTTTCCTATTTCTGGTCTCCCAGTTATCTAGGTTAATGTTTACTCACATAACTTAATTACCTGGGACATAGAGTTATACCTCAGTGGTAGAGTGCTTGACTAAGAGTGAGGCTCTTAGGAAAACACACAAAACCAAATCCAAAACATTTCTCAATTTGTTTTTTAATGAATAAAAGTGGTATATTTCTAGAATTTCTACTGTTGATATACAATAGATGATCTTCCCCTAGTATAGCTTTAGCAAATTCAAGTGCCTGTTTAATTTAGTGAATGTACTTGTATGTTTCCTTTTTTTTTTTCCTTTTTTGTGTTGAGATAGTGTTATTGGATAGATCATCTGACTTATGTTTTGATGCTTCTCTCCTTAGCAATCAGCAGAACGCTGTGTAAGCACATTGCTTGACCTAATCCAGACCAAAGTAAATTATGTGGTCCAAGAGGCAATTGTTGTCATCAGGGACATCTTCCGCAAATACCCCAACAAGTATGTCAAAATTCTTGTAACTTTCTCAAATCATTTGGGAAATGCTTAAGTAAGGCACTTTGAAATTGACTAGGTAAGAATTATTGTTCTTAATATAACTGGTTATAATAGATACTTTATTAAAAGTCAGGATACATAGGTGTGCAGCTAACAGAGATTAAACTTCTCATTTAGAGATGGCGATGGGGTTTCACGTTGGCCCTGTGTCCTGGGATTGCAGGCATGAGCCTTTCTACCCATTTACTTCTATTATTTTTTGTAAAAATGAGTCTCTGCTTGAGTATATACTGTCTCTCGGCAGTTACCATTTAACAGGAAACCTATATATTCCCTGTTGTCTGGACACACTTTGTTTATGTTAAACAAATGATTGTATACTTTACCCTCTTGGAAGGGTCTTAACATGACACATGAATCATGTGGCCACTGCTTCACAAAAGCACGACAGTAATAGCCACACGGTTTACTTTGTGTGGAACCTGTTACTTTGTGGGAAATGGCGAATTTATTGCAGTGAATTCCCCACCTCTGGCCTCTTGTGCAGTGTTGTAGCTGCTTCCACACAGATACTCAGAGCCTGCATTTTCACATCACAGAATTTCAGATTGAGGATTCTTAGTTTATAAAACAAAAACAATAAAACCAATACTTTAATTCTGAAGACAGGGAGTTCAGAATTCGTGTGTGTGTGTGTGTGTGTGTTTATTTTGTTTGAAAAGTGTTATTTTTAGAAAGAGGACCACCATCTTTTACTGAGCTTCCCAAAAAAAGGAGAGTAAGATTTCTAAACTGTTTTGTTATAGGTTGTTTAAAAAAAAAAAGGTGTATCTCAGCATGACCAATTGTGTAAATAAGGGGTTATGACAGTTTAATTTTAAGAAAAGTCAAAAGCCTGATTTAATGAGTAGGAATGAGACAGATATTTGACGTAGTTATCTAGGTCAAATTCCCACTTTAATTTGTTCCATCTTGTTCTATGTTTAAATTACATTAGCCAGCTGGTCCTGGTGTCATAGGTCTATAATGTCAGCTACTCAGGAGGCTAAGCTGAGAAAGAATAAAAAGAAATTATTGAATTTCTTAATAGAAGCAGGTCTTTAGAATGTGTGCATTAGAACATAAAGATTTCTTTCACAAAAAGCAGATGGGGGTTGGGGAGCATGCTCAGATAAAGTGCTTACTTCATAAACTTGAGGACCAGAGTTCTGATCCCTGTCACCCATATAAAAGTCAGGCTTACCTGGTGGCCCACTTGTAAACCTAGTGCCAGAAACAGAATATCTGGGCAAGCTGGCTAGCTAGACTAGCTGTATCAGTGAGCTCTGGTTTCAGAAAGAAACCTTGCCTCCGTTAAAGTAGAACATGCTGTCAAGCTTCTTTGCACATGCACGTACGCACATACAAACACACCACACACACAGAGAAATAGAGTGACAAGTGCAATAGGAGACAGGATTATGGTTTCCTGTTCTTTTCTAACCCCATCTTCCTAAAAAAGAAAGTGAGATTTCTAATGTTTTCTACCATGAAGGCAAAAATGCATACTAGAAAAGCTCTCTATTGTACTTAAAGATTGGTTTTAGACATAAGATAGTAGAATTTTCTTATACCACGGGTTAATTTTTTTTCCTTGTGAAAGTCTGTCTCATGAACTCTTGTAAAAGTTTAAATCTTAGTTATTGAAAAGTAATTGAGCTGGGCATGGTGGTTTATACCTTTAGTACTCAGGAGGCAGAGATAGGTGGATTTCTGTGAGTTCAAGGCCAGTCTGATCTACATAGTGAATTACAGGACATCCAGGGCTATATGGAGATGTCCTGCCTTAATAAATAAATAAATAAATAAATAAATAGGAAAGAAAGGAGAAATATAATTGAAGAATGGTGGCTCACAGCCATCTGTAACTCCACTCCTAAGGGATCCTATTTCCTCTTCTGACCCCTTTGGGTACCAGGGCTGTGGGTGGTACACACACATACATACAAGCTAAGCATTCATATACATAAAATAATAAAGTAATCTAAGGGTATTTTTAAAGCAAATGTGAAGAAAAGTGTAAGCCATTAATTTCTGACTTACTGTATTATGCTCACTAAACATCTTTGTAGTTTGGTGATTTGGCTTGGAGTCCCTGGTGATGGTTTTGACTCTTAACTTCCACTGTCAAGTACAGTTCTTAGTTTTGTCCTCGGTAACGGTAGTCCATTTGTTGTAACAGGTATGAAAGTATCATTGCCACTCTCTGTGAGAACTTGGACTCCCTGGATGAGCCCGATGCTCGAGCAGCTATGATTTGGATTGTAGGAGAATATGCTGAAAGAATCGATAATGCTGATGAATTACTAGAGAGCTTCCTGGAGGGTTTTCATGATGAAAGTACCCAGGTAAATTCTCTTCTATTCTGTGTCTACATCTCTTCAGGAAGATAACCGATGTTAAACATTGAGTCGTTTCTTGTATGCATTTATACGTCATGGTTTCCCTTTCTCAGAGGGGATGACCGTTTTGATCAGTCCTGGTTTCTAGCGTGACAGCTGCAGAGCTTAGACCAGTGGTTTATAGATGCTAATGCACATTGGAACGTTTGGGGGCTCTTTGAAACCCGGGTTGCTGGTCCTCCACCCCAGAGAGTGAGAAGCACCTATGTAGTCTGGTTTCTTACGTGCTGCGAGCGATGCTCCAGAAGTGAGCTTCTCTGTGGTGGTTGAGAGCAGTAACCAGAGTTTTATTTTCTGTCACCTAAGGATGATTACATATTGTCCTTAGCATTTGCTGTTGCTCATTACAGAACATCATGGTGAGACTTGAAAAGATTCTCTGCGGATGATTAGATTTCTCCCCATCTGTCCTTCCCTCCTATAAAATTAGAGTCAGAGACCTAGAAAAGCAGCCAGACTATTAAGCCTTTCTCTCTGGCATTTGTGCTCATAGCAAATAGAAGTTTGTGTATGTAATCCAATATAGTAATTTTAATAGGCGTAATATTAATAGTAGATCAGCAGGCTCCCTCTAATTGGCTCTAATCTGACATAATTCTGTTTTGGCTCTTATCCCAGTATGGCAAGTGGTTTCATAAGTCCTTTAAACTTGTAAGCTTTGGCCAAAGTAAATAATACACAATGTAATCAAGAGCCAATTTTATGTGTGTACTTTAAAAAATACAGTTGAGGCCTGGCTCAGAGGGTAAAGGTGACTTCTGCCAAGCCTCCTGGCAACCTGAGTTTGATCCCTGGAACCCGTGTAAAGGTGGAAGGAGAGAACTGACCACAGAGTTGTCCTCCCCGTGTGCCCTGTGACTCATGTACTCATACACATTACGCACACACATCATGTACACACAATAATAATACTTTTTTATTAAAAAGAAAGAAAACAGTTGAAAATCTGGCCCAGAAACAAATCATTTTTGATACAAAAATGCAACTGGAAATAAGAGACTAGTGAATGTTCAGGTGATTACTTGTCTCTGAGAACCCCTTTGTCCGCTCTTCGTTCCATTGGCTGAGCTTCCTCTTTCATCTCTCAAAATCAGTAATTCATAGTGGAGGAAATGAGATGCTGCCTCTCATTTACTTTGTTGATTTTGTTTTTTAGGTGCAGCTCACGCTGCTTACTGCCATAGTGAAGCTGTTTCTCAAGAAGCCATCAGAAACACAGGAGCTGGTCCAACAGGTCTTGAGCTTGGCCACACAGGTGAGAGATCTGAGAGCATCTGAAGGGCTGATTTGTGCTACTTCCCATGGTAAAAGTGAACACTTGTCTTGCTGTGTTTGCTGTGGTGAGCTCCACACTGAAGAGTGACTTGGGGAGGAAAGGCTTTCTTCAGCTAACACATCCTGAGTCATAGTCTGCTGGGGGAAGCCAAGGCAGGAACTCAAACCTGGCAAGAACCTGGAAGCAGGAGCTGATGCGTAGTCCATGGAGGGGTACTGCTTACAGGCTTGCTTGCTCCTTATGGCTGCTCAGTCTGCCTCCTTATAGAACCCAGAACCACTGACCCAGGATTAGCCTCTTCTACAATGGGCTGGGCCCTTCCCTGTCAGTCACTAATTAAGAGAATGTCTTACGTCTTACTTGCCTACAGTCTCCTCTTCTTCTTCTTCTTCTTCTTCTTCTTCTTCTTCTTCTTCTTCTTCTTCTTCTTCTTCTTCTTCTTCTTCTTCTTCTTCCTTCTCCTCCTCTTCCTCCTCCTCCTCCTTCTTCTTTTTTTCCTCCTCCTCCTCTTTCTCCTCTTCCTCCTTCTCCTTCTTCTTCCGATCTATGCAGGTCCCTGCACACGTGTGGTGCACATACATACATTCAGACATACACATATACACATTTTTAATTTAAAAATAACAATTTAAAAATAAAAAAATTAGATTGACTTCAGTTTTCTTATAGACAAGTTGTCATATAGACAAGTAGATATATAAGTAAAAATTTTAAAAATTTAAGAATATATAAAAATAGATATAAGGTAGAATAAATGTTAGAATTATTACTACTAATATTTATGGCCATTTTGTTAAAAAATTTAGAGATGGGGGCTTACTGTGTACCTAACTGACCCAGTTCTCAGTATTTACCCCAGGCTGCCCTCAAATTCATGCAATCCTCCCGCCTCAGCGTCCTGAGTACTGGAATTACAGGTGCATGCGACTTATGTAACAGTTTTGTTTTTGTTTAAGCTGACACATAAGGGCTAGAGAGATGACTCAATGTTTGGTTAGGAGTACTTACTGCTCTTGCAAAGGACCTGACTTCATTTCCCAGCACCAACATGGCTGTTTACAGCCATCTGTAATTCTAGTTCCAGGGGCTCTGATATCCTCCTCTGTCCTCTGTGGGTATTGCATGCACATGGTGCACTTATATATACTGTATGTAGGCAGAACACTGGTACAAGTAAAATAAAAGGTCTTTTTTTAAAAGACTGGCACATTTTTATTTGTGTGTGTGTGTGAGTGAGAGATACACACACATAGAGAGTAGAAAGAGCACATGTCACACTCTGCTTGTAGAAATCAGTTGACAGCTTGTGTGGAGTCAATTCTCTTTCTTCCTGCCATATAGGTCCCAGAGGTTTAACTCAGGTCACAAGGCCTGCATGTGCCTTAACCCACTGAGCTATCGTGATATACAGAGACCTTAATAGAATAATTAAAATACTATTCTTATTTCTCAAGGCCATTTAACTATTGCTGGATTAAAATGGCTTTTATTTCTTCTCAGCTTCCCTTTGAATTTGAGTCTGAACATTACCCCATCTCAGTGTATATTTAAGTTCCTTGAAACATTAGACATATAATTATAACTATATTATTAGATCCCAGTAAAATATCATTTTGATAGCTAATCTGCTTAAGTCACTACAGCAGTGCCTTGACAGTAAGCCTGGCACTTTAGTGTCTCAGTGGAGACAGAGCCAACTGAGTCTCCTTGTCTTTGCTTTGCTTTAGGATTCTGATAATCCTGACCTTCGAGATCGGGGTTATATTTATTGGCGCCTTCTTTCAACTGACCCTGTGACAGCCAAAGAAGTAGTGCTGTCTGAGAAGCCACTGATCTCTGAGGAGACAGACCTCATAGAGCCTACCCTCCTGGATGAGCTCATCTGCCACATTGGTTCTTTGGCCTCTGTGTACCACAAGCCTCCAAATGCTTTTGTGGAAGGGAGTCATGGGATTCATCGCAAGCACTTGCCCATTCATCACGGGAGGTAAGCAGGTGAAGTTACTCCGTGAGGACTAAGCTGCTGGTTAGGCGCCTTGTCTTCTGCTCTGTGCCTGAAAAGGATCTTGCCGTGCCTTCTGCAATCTTGCTGCCCTAAAGGGCTTCTTTCTCTCAGTTCCCACATAGGAGTGCAATAAAACTATAGGAAATTATGCTCATACCTTCTGTTTTGATAAGGTTTGAAAGTTGCTTAAGTCTAGTAATTTATTAAATACCAGGCCTGCCTGAGGAGCTTGCTCAGGTGACAGAGGGAGTCTGATCCCCAGAATCTATGTGGAAAAACTAGGCATGGTAGTGAGTGCTTGTAGTCAGGCACTGGGGAGGTGAGACAGGAAAGTTCTGGGGCTAGCCAAACTAATCAAGCTTCCAGGGCTCCTTGACATGGAACACATGCTGCACACACTTAAACACAGATGTGCATAAATGGAAAGAAAAATAAACTAAGCACCTGAGGAACAATGCCTCAGCTTTCCTCTGTCCTCTGTGTGGGTTGGCACATGCTCACATACACACAGAAAACCTTAGTAGAGACCATTTCTCTTGTATAGATGACTTATGTTAAACTACTAATGAAATGCTTTTATAGAATTACAATGTATTACAGCTTAGATTCTATATATAGATAAAACTTTCAGTCACATATGCCTACTTTGGAACAAATTAGTTTAATGAGATCAGTAAGGAAAGTGTGTTAGGAGCAGACCACAGGCAGCATGCAGCTTTTGCTTCCTAACTCTTCAGTTTTAAAATCAGAGAAGAGGAACACTAATAAACTCTTTTTGCTTTTGTTTAGAGGAGTGGGTTTTTTTTTGTTTTTTGAAATAGGGTTTCTCTGTGTAGCCCTGGCTGACCTGGAACTCACAAGATCCACCTGCCTCTGCCTCTTGAATGCTGGGATTAAAGGTATGTGCCACCATCGCCCAGCCTGCTTCTGTTTTTTAAGGCAGGGTTTATGTACCCAAGGCTGGCCAAAACTCATTGTTCAGCCTAGAAGCTTAGATTTTTCCTGCCGCAGTTTGCCATGAAGTTGGGACTGCAAGCCTAGGCAACCAAGTCTGGCTTTATACATAGGTCCTTATCAAAGCCTCTTAGCCATTTATACTTTATTTTTGTCTTTAAAGACTGATACAAGAAAAACATACTTTGGTATAAGTGGAGATAATGGCTGGGGAATATATTTCTGTGGTAGAGTGCTTGGCTGTACTCTGAGGCCCCTAAATTCAATTCCCAGCACGCCAGCCATCCAAAAAAAAAAAAAAAAAAAAAAATCAGGAGTTGTAGATATATGTGATTAATTGCTGCAAATGGCATGTGAGAAAGGTCCATCTGTAGGAGGAGGCTGCTTGTTCGTTTCCCGGCCACCCAGACTCCCAAAATAACCATAAAGAAACAATATTATTTACAGTACTGTTTTGCCAATAGTTTAAGCATATTTCTGGCTAACTCATACCCTAAACTAACCCATCTCTGTTAATCTGTGTATCGTCACGTGGCTGTGGCTTACTGGGTAATTAAGTTCCATCCCCCGCATCTGTCTCTGACAGGGGCTACGTGGCTTTTCCCTCCTCTTGCCTCCTTTAACCCAGCATTCAGTTTAGTTTTCCCTGCCTAGCTAAGTTCTGCCCTGCCATAGGTTCAAAGCAGTCCTTTATTAACCAATAGTATTCACAGCATACAGAGGGAAATCCCATATCATCCATCCCTAACTCTTCTGCAGCAAAAGTTAGTGATATACTTGTGACATGAAATACAGCAACACCTGAAAGCTTTAGCCTGCTGCCTCTTGTAGTGGTTTAAAAGGTAAGGTCTTTTAGAATCACTCAGAAAAGAGTGAAGTGCTGTCTTCCCAAGTGTGTACTGTGCCCAGTATTTGCCAACTGCCCTAGAAAGATGATGTGGTAAATAGTTGTCTGATTTGGGACAAATTTACCTTTTGACATTGTATCTTTGATGGCATTTATGCAGTTACTTTACACGACTTTATAATGGGAAACACTGGATATTGATTTTCTTGGATGTAATTTCATTAGCCTTTGTGTTCATATGTTTCTTAAGAGTTCTGAGATCATCTCCTGTGACTCCTGCCTTTGTCCCTTCATGATAGGGTTTTATTGATACTTTTCATCTTGAAGTTGTCTTTCTTAGATTGTCTTTTTCTTCAGTCTCTGCAGTTCCATGTTGTTAGTTTTCATGTGACAACGTCTGATAGAAAAAACCTTAGGGAAGGGGATAGAAGGGCTCCCCTGCTTAAGGAACTGTAGTAGGGAAGACATGGCACCAGGAGTGCTCCACTCAAGGCAGTAGGAGTGGGAGGCAGCAGAAGAAGCAGAGAACAGGCTAGTACCAGAAAGAAACTGTAACTTTTGGCAGCTGGATCCTAATGGTTCAGCAACCATGGAAACAAATATCGGCATGTTTGTAGAGATTGTCCAGACTGGCTTAATTCAGTTGGGAAGGCCAACCCTAAAGAGACAGGAGCTGGGAGCCCAGGCTGAATAAAGAGGTGAAGGTAAGCTGAGCACCAGTATTCATTGCTCTGTGTTTCCCGATTGGGCAGAGTGTGCGCATCTGTCTCCTGCTCTAGTCACCATGCCCTCCCTGCCATGATGAACCACACACTTGAACTATGAGCCAAAACTCTTTCTTAAGTTGTTTTTATCACATACTTTGTCACAGCAATGAGACAAGTGACTAGCACATTTATCTTACTATGTGTCAAAATATGTGACAGAAACAAGTGGGATTTATTTTGCCCTGGTCATAGCAGAGAAGGTATGGGCACAGGAACACCCCTGTTCGTGGCAGTAGGGGTGTAAGGCAGCACTTTGTTCTCATAGAAGCCAACAGGATGTCGGGTATGCCTTTGAAAGCTTATCTCTATTGATCTTCTTCTGCCAGCCAGGACCTATCCCCTAAATGGCCCCACAGCCTTGAGATGTGTATATAAATTTCTTTCCAAGTTTATTGTCTATGTCTGGCTGCCAGTCGCTTGTCTTTAGTTGACTTTTGAACATCTGTAGTTATTTTTCTTTACACATAGCAGAATTGAGCATCTTGAAGTTATGGTTATGGCACGGTTGAAGAATGTGTTCTTAGCATAAGAACACCAGAACAGACAAAACCTGAGTGTCTTTTTGTTTTTAATCATCCTTCTGGATGCCCCATTGGCAGCATCGCTCATCCTCTCCTTGTTTGCTCACTGCCATTCTTGCTCCTCCGTGTTCAGATCTTGTCCAGAGCTGCTTAAGTTTTTTGTTAACATGTATTTATTTGTTATGTGTGTGCGCACATCTCACGAAGGACAACCTGTGGGAGTCAGTTCTCTTCCACTGTGTGAATTCTTGAGATTGAAATTGATGGCAAGAACCTTTACCTCCTGAGCTACCTCAGCCCTGTTTAATTCTTTAATTGTATATTTTGTGTTTTGTGATTATACCTGTGACGTTTGCTTTTTGCTTTTTTGTATCATGGGTGAAGATGTTTTTATCATCTCTCCTCTGTTTGATTACAGCACTGATGCAGGGGATAGCCCTGTTGGCACCACCACTGCAACCAACCTGGAACAGCCTCAGGTTATTCCCTCTCAAGGTGACCTTCTGGGGGATCTTTTAAATCTTGACCTGGGTCCCCCAGTGAATATGCCACAAGTGTCCTCCATGCAAATGGGAGCTGTGGACCTTTTAGGAGGAGGACTGGATAGCCTGGTAAGCAGTTCCTTTTCTCCACTTATTTTTAGTTCTTGGTGAACTAGAGAACTTTATTCGTCTTTCCTTGATAAGCAGAAACAGAATTATCTATCTTTAGAGAGTTTGTTACCATTCTGTTCATATTGGGATGGAATATGTCTCTGCATGTGTTTAGATTTATCATGTTGACCTGCTTATAAGAACTTCTGGTATTTAGCCAACCTGTTATTTGGCTATCTTATTAATGTCCTTACCAGAGTTCATTATTTTTCCTGCTTCTTAACTTCTTACAAGTTTTCCTTTGGTCCTGAGTATCATTAAAGTGGCTTCATACTGGTCACCATCTTTCAGGCTTTTAAACCCCTGCCTTGTTGGGTGTGGTGGTACATACCTATAATCCCATCACTTGGGAGGAGAAGCAGGAGGATCTGGAGTTGAAGGCCAACCTTGGTTACAATGTGAGTCCGGGGAAGCCTGAGTTACAGGAGACCCTGCTTCAGCATGCACACACTCTAAAAAAAAAAAATTTAAATGTATTCTTTTAAATATTTATTGGTTTGTGCATTTTCCAACTCCAAAATGTTTTAAGGCAGTTATGTGAGCATTTTTGTCTAAACTGTACCCTTAATTACAGTTGGAAAAGACTGCTTGACTTTTCTCCTTCCTCCTCCTCACTTCTGCCTTTGTCATACTTCCAATTTAATTAGCTTCCAGGATTCTAATAATAAAAGGCCCAAAAGTCCAGAATGTCTGGGACATGGGCCACCAGTTATTGTTGTACAAGATGGAGAAATTATCAAATGGCAACCATCCATGTCTGAGGAAAAGCCTAGGAAAATGGTAGGTCACAAGGCTCCCTGCAAATCAGGTACTTAACCTTGGTGGATTACAGAACTAGGTGTCTGATACTCTGGTGACTATCAGTATGCCTGACAAGTTGATGTATTTCCCAGCAACATTAAAAGGCACACACCATAGTATCATCACACTTTCGGAGATGAGAGGAGCAAAACCACTTACTCTCTTCTGCATATAATGTCGTTGTCTCTTAAGCGTTAAGAGGACTGTGGTATCTATGGCTTTTCCATGTCAGTATAGTTGCATTTAAGATTTGATTGGCAGAGAATCCATTAAGGTTATAGTCAGACCTCTGTGAGTTGTGCACTGCATCCAGAGTCTAGTCACAGACCATGCAGGGAATTCTAGCTTGTTGTCACATTTAACATCCCTATTGTCTTTTTTTTTTTTTTTTTTTGGTTTTTCGAGACAGGGTTTCTCTGTGGCTTTGGAGCCTGTCCTGGAACTAGCTCTGTAGACCAGGCTGGTCTTGAACTCACAGAGATCCGCCTGCCTCTGCCTCCCAAGTGCTGGGATTAAAGGCGTGAGCCACCGCCCAGCTTTGTCTTTCTTTTGAACATGGAATTTGGTCTTGACTAACTATAGAAGAATAGTATTGTCATCATCCCACACTGCTGTGTAGCTGAAGGCGTAAGTCATGAACAAGGCCACACCAGTTTGGAGTTATGATTAATAGGGTGTTATTTATTTAAAGGGGAAAACTTACAGATCACCTTCCCAGACAACAGCCATCTGCACAACCAGGAAGGGAGTCTAGTCTCCAGCGGAGCAGGAAGAGAAGAGAGCGAGCAGAGGAAATAGCCGCTTTTTTAAAGGGAGAGAGACCACGCCCCAATGGGCTGGTATCACAGCAGCTATTGGTTGGAGGGGCGGAAGGACCTCCTGCAACATATAGCCTTTTACAACTCATAGTAGACAGATAATTTAAGTATCATGGAGCTGCCCAAGAAATGAAAATAGCTCTTGTTGTATTGATGTATCAACTATAGGCTGAATACTGCCTCCTCAGGTTTATGCTTTAACTTCCTTACTGCTTTCTCTGGAGGGTTACTACATGATAGACTCATTGAACCTAAGAGGAAAAACGGGTTTAGGGATTGAGGTGGAGAAGAGGCCCTGGTTTTGGTGTTTCCAGGCCCACAATTCTAACAGGTGTATAGATACATAGTACATAAAGATAAAACTCATTGTAAGTATTGTTTCAGACAAAAAGGCTGTGGGAGGAGACAGATTTTCTCTCTGTAACAGTCCTAGCTGTCCTGGAACTAGTGCTCTAGACCTAGTCTAGTCTCAAATGCCGAGAGCTGGGATTAAAGGTGTGTGCCGCCACCACCCAGCTGAGATGGCTAAATCTTGAAGGGCGAGAACCTGAGTTTGGTTGCCAGCACCCACATCAAAAAGCAGGTAATGGTGGCACACATTTCTAAGCCCGGTATTCAGAAGCGTGGACTGGTGGATCCCTGGGGCTTGTTGGTCAGCCAACATAGCCTAGTTAGTGAGTGTAAAGGTTCTAAGAACTTGCTTGAGGTTAGGCACAGTGCCCCTTAATTCCAGCATTTGGGAGGCAGAAGTAGATGGTTCTTGGTGAGTTTGAGGTAAGCCTAGTCTACATTGGAAATTTCAAGACAGCTAGGGCTATATTGTAAGACCCTTTGTCTTAAAAAAAAAATGGCAGGGTACTTTTCTAGTCAATTAATTAAATGTGTATGGGTGCTTTGTGTTTTATGGCTGAGTACCACATGTATACTTGGTGCCTCAGAGACCAAAAGAGGACATCATATCCTCTGGAACTGGAGTGACAGATGGTTGTGAGCCATCATGTGAGTACTAACAGCCCTTACTTTTTACTTTGAATCTGTATATAATTTAATATATTCACTCAGAAAACAGAAACTTCTTTTACAAGAGCAACACAAGAGAAGCCCATATCTGGCTGTGTGGAAATGAGTTTCTTCTAGAAAGGAAGAAAGAGAGAAAGAAAGAAAGAAAGGAAGGAAGGAAGGAAGGAAGGAAGGAAGGAAGGAAGGAAGGAAGGAAGGAAGGAAGGAAGAAAGGAAAAGAAAGAGAAAGAAAAACTTATTTATTTATTTATTATGTATACAGTGGTTTGTCTGCATGTATGCCTGTAGGCCAGAAGAGAACACGATTTCATTAGAGATGGTTGTGAGCCACCTCTGGAAGAGCAGCCAATGCTCTTACCCTCTGAGCCATCTCTCCAGCCCGGAAAATAAGTTTCTAAGGCATCAGTGGACTGTGATGCTTTAAAAATACCTGTTCAGTTTTTTTGCTCTCTGTATAAATAGTGTCATTTCTTAAATGAAACCTTTCCTTATAGTAAGTAACATTTCAGAAAACTATATAATAATGTGTATAAAAATCTTGCACTAGAGATCCTGATTTGTTACGCTCTGGTAAAACCTATTTGTGGTTTTTGTGTTTGTTTTGATTAGTCATGTATATGGGGACAGCCTTGGGTGTTGTTCTTTGCTTTCTACCTTGTTTTTGAGGCGGGTTTTTTGTTTTTGACAGGTTTTTTTCTTTTTGTATGTAACCTAAGTTGGTCTCAAATTGACGATCCTCCTGCCTCAGTATCCCTACTGCTGAAATTTCAGGCATATGCCACAAGGTCCAGCATTAGTGTTGGGTATTAACTAAACCTCACTCTATGCAGGTCATTGGTATGCTACTAGTTAGTTTTACCTACCAGCTCCTTACCTTTTTATGATTCTCATTCCAGCTGCATAATTAACCCCATCTAGCAATGCTATTTATATATAGCAGTAAAACATCTGCGGAGCAAGATCTTTTCTGAGACAGGGTCTTACTGTGTAGAACAGATTGGCCTTGAACTCAGAGATCTGCAGGCTTCTGCCTCTCCAGTGATGAGATTAAAGATGTGCACCACCAAACCTGGCCCCAAATGCTCTTTTTTTTTTCCTTTTATTTTAAAGTTGTTGGAGCTGTTTTTAACTTTACAGCCAGGATTGAGAGCATCGAGCCAAATAAAATTCTAAGTGGAATTAGGTAGCTGATCTCTTGTGCCAAACAGTGACTTCTTCCCCCCAAAAAAATGTTTTCTGACTGCCTCTTTGACACAGCTTACAATAACAGACATCTCAGGCCAGTGATGACCCAAGTTCAGTCCCTAGAATCCAGGGTGGAAGGAGTAAACCAAGTTGTCCTTTGATCTGTATGCACACATGCGTGCACACTTGTACACATGCACACTAATAACAAACAATAAAATAAATAAAAATGAGTATTTTAAAAGCTAGACATCTCTGTGTTTACCTTTGTTTTGTTGGGTTTTTTTTTTTTTTGTTTTGTTTTTCTTCTTTCCATTGGGATTTTAAATGATTCAGTCTGTCTTGGCTAGAAGTTAAACTTGATTAGATATATTGGAGACTGAAAAAAATTTAGGGCATTTTCTATTTAGATTATATACTTTTTTTAGTCAAGATCTCATTCTGTCCCTATCTGGCGTCACCCTTGAACATGCTGGGATCACAGGTATGCACTAGCTTTATTGGCTCATTTTCCTAAAAGTTTCTGTTCACTAGCAGATATTTTCAGCCTTCCTTTTTTTTAAGATTCTTCTGATCCTCCAGTTTGTCTTTTTTTTTTTTAACCTTCTTTCATCGCTGTACTTGAGAGATTGTTTATTTAGTGACCTTTTCCTAGAGCTGTCATGTTCAGGAAATGCTAATTAATTTACTAGTCATACATAAATAAAGTGTTCTCCCGTTGATGACAGTGACTCGGAATCTGCGACTCCTACAGCAGACAAGGCTAGAATGCCGCTGGATACAGAGGAGCCAAGCCAAGCTCCTTAGGCCTGCTTGGTTTATGTTTTGTTTTAAGGGGGCAGTCACTTTTGAAAAACAGGAGCTCGGGCAGTTTTAGAAGTGGAATGCCTGTTTAGCTCAAAATTTGAATCCAACTTAATTCCTACCTATTCTTGCAGTCTCGTTGCCACTTCTATTCTTACTGCTCTTCAGCACTCTTCTCTTGTTGCTTCTACGCTACAGATATTTCTTGTTTCTGTTACTGTAAACACAACTGTCAGCTTAATGTGGAGAATTCAAGTAAAATGTAACTAGTGGTTTGTCTGTTCTATAAGTAAAGCATGGTGGCATTCAATTTAAGGTAGGCTTACATAA